TATTTTTTATTTTTTCTTTTCTTTTATGCTTTTTTATTCTTTTCTTTTTTTAAATTTCATTCCTTTATTTTATTTATTCTTTTATTTTGTATTTTATTTGATTCTTTTATTTTAGGAGCAGAGGGCGCTATGGCCTTCCTTAACGCTATAATGTCTCTTTGTTCTGGAGTGGTCTCACCTGTCATTTTCCACTGCAGTGGTCTCCGTGCCCTCTCCCCCCCTCTCTGTTTTTTCATTCCTCTGCCACACTCATTACTCACTGACAACATCCTGTGAGTGCCGGCGGATTCACAAGAGGCCAGGTCAAGGATGTGAATAGGACGATGGGGACAAAAGCTGTGGAAAGCTTCAAAGTATGTAGAAATGCTAGGATATAAGACTTGTGGCATTGGTGTTGATGGCGTGGTTTTAGTAAAAAGGGCCGTTGAAATGCAGCGGATTCTTCAGAACCAGCTGTCTGCTTTTGGCAAATCCCAAAAGGGCTGAAGGTTTAGTTTGCTTTTAGAAGAAAACAATAGTTTGAAAATGCAAGCCTGTGGCAGGTGGGAAGATGTTGATCACTTTTGACTTCCAGAATCTCAGAAGGATTTGCGGGTAGACTGCATCCGTTCCGTGAAGGTCCCCAGAACAGATTTTGGCAGCTTCTGTTTAACCCAAACAAGCCAACTTATGGCTCATTAGAAATGTAATAAACGGAGGCATATTTAAATGTATTATTATGATTAACAGTGTGCAAAAATATATATTGGAATTTATAGCTTTGAAGGATTACAAATTCAGGGGATTAAGAGATATAACCCCAGGACCAATTCATTTTTTAAATTAATAATTGGTTGTATTGGCATTTATAGAAAACTGAGATATTGGAAATTTGGTGGAAAGTAAGTAATACTTAAAATTTTAAAATATTGCTGACCTAAAAAATGGTAAAGGTTCCCCTTGCACATACATGCTAAGTCATTCCCGACTCTAGGGGGTGCTGCTCATCTCCGTTACAAAGCCGAAGAGCCAGCGCTGTCCGAAGACGTCTCCGTGGTCATGTGGCCGGCATGACTAAACGCCTAAGGCGCACGGAATGCAGTTCCCTTCCCACCAAAAGGGTCCCTATTTTTCTACTTGCATTTTTTAACGTGCTTTCGAACTGCTAGGTTGGCAGAAGCTGGACAAGGAATGGGAGTTCACTCCGTTATGTGATGCTAGGGATTCGAACCGCCGAACTGCCAACCTTTCTGATCGACAAGCTCAGCGTCTTAGCCACTGAGCTAACAGGTGTCAATAAACACATTGTATGAAGAAATGTAATTGATGTTTTAATGTATTTTTGGAGAAAGTGATAAGGAATCATAAAGAGAGAATAGTATGGATTAAAGATAAAGAGGTGAATATGGAACAACCACAACAGGTGCGGGGAAAAAGTAAGTACAAATTGGGAAAATAGTATTATACATAATGATACATAAAAGAATATATTTTAATTATAATGAGCATATTAAGGTTAGGAAGGTAAAAACAATGTATATGTAGTTGTATTATTATGGTTAGCACCAGTAGTGAGATTCAACCAGTATGCACCACTTTGGCAGAACTGGTTGTTAAATTTCTGGCTATGTCAAGGACTACTTGTATGCCCCTACCTTGCTTTTACACTTGCCATGCGTTTTGAGGGGTGGGTTTGAGAAGATGAGGTCCATCCAACTACAACTTTATTGGCAATCTTCTTCCTCTCAAGCCATTTACTCTTTCCTCAAAAAAAATTTTTTTTTAATTCAAATTGAACCTTCCTTCGTTCTCTCTGTAAGATCAAATGACAGAAAGATTTATTCTGAAGTGATCAGTCACCTTTATATTCAACCCACATTCACTCACCACCTGCTCGCTGTTAACCCCAATCTCATCTTCTTTCACTGCATATGCTTCTTAAATATCCTATCTTCGCTGCATTCAATTTACTTTGAAGTTTCTCCCAATTCTCACTTCCTTAAAACAAAGATGATTCCATTTTTGCTTCATTGGACAAACATTTATTCATTACATATTGCTTACTATTTTTCTGCCCGCGTTGGCACATCTAAATATTCTTCCATCTTTGGTTAACCTTCTATGAAAATTCACAAATTTTCTCTTGGTTCGTTGTCATTTATGTGTAATTTGCAATCATTCAAATATCTATGGAGAGTCTCAGTCATCCAGGTCCCAGTTGTTCCAAACGTGCTTTTTTCAAGGGCAACTGGACTTTCTTGTTTTTCTTTGAAGACGTTTCGCTCCTCATCCAAAAAGCTTCTTCAGCTCTGACTGGATGGTGGGGAATGGAAGGAGAGACAACATAGGACTAGATTCGGCAGTCCACCTGCATTTAAAAGACAAAGGCCACTCTTTTGAAGATAGCAAATTCCACATTTTGGACAGAGAGGACCACTGGTTTGAAAGAGGGGTCAAAGAGGACATCTGTGTCAAAATTGAACAGCCCTCTTTCAACAGAGGGGGAGAGATAAGGCATCATCCATCTTCAGTCTGCAACACAGGTTCTTTCAGCAGTTCCAAGAAAGATCCACACTCATTTGTACTACTCAGGTGATCCTGAGGACACAGACAAACCTCCAAGTGGCCTCAATGACTTTTTAAAAAGAATGCAAATGATCAGTGGTCTGCAAGGAGGATAAATTCTTCAATTTCCCACCATCCAGTCAGAGCTGAAGAAGCTTCTTGGATGAGAAGCAAAATGTCTTCAAACAAAAACCAGAAAGTCCAGTGCAATCATCTACACTTTCTCCTGTTAGATGCAACTATCTTGGTCTTATATATATATTAATTTTCCAGTCAACTTCTTGATACATGATGTACTCTGTTTAACATTAGCTGCTAATCGTTCACATTATGAGCAACATAGTCTTCATCAAAACCTACATCCATGTTTATGTCCCCAATCCATGTGCCTCTAATTCATGAAGCATTCCTTATTCATTTCACCTTAAATACATCAAATCACCCAAGAGGAATCACTCATTCTTCCTTTACCCCTCCTCAAGGTGGAACATTTATTTTCCCTTAGACTTTCTTTCCTTATATATTGTTCTTTTTTTATTCATCAACTGACCTCCAACTCCAAATTCATCAGAACATTCTGTACTTTATGTCCATTAAAAAAAAAAGGTAAAATTGTGTACAACTCTAGGAGGTTGCGTTCATCTCAGTTTCCCAGCAGAGGGAGCCAGTGTTGTCTAAAGATGTCTCCGTCGTCGTGTGGCCAGTATGGCTATACACCAAAGGCACATGGAATGCTGTACACTTCCCACTGAAGTGGTACTTATTTATATACTTGCGTTTCCATGCTTTCAAGCTGCTAGGTTGGCAGCGGCTGGGGAAAGTAACAGAAGCTCATCCCCATCAGTGGTGACTTTATGCCTACATAGTTAATCTCAACTTAGACTTCTTATAAATCAAACATCAAATAAACATTCTTTCCCAATTTCATACAATTCTCAATGACTTGCTGAAGAGCAAGAATCTTAGCTGCATACTTTCTGCCCAGAATATTTGTGGGACCTGCCCATCCTACCAGCTCCAATAGGGTGGGTGTACTCCAGATTTCTCCCATAAAATATTGCCATCTGCTGCGACCTCAGAAATGCTCCTTTCCAGTAGCTGTCCTGACTCTTTAGAACAGGGTTTCCAAACTTGGCAACTTTAAGACTTGTGGACTTCAACTCCCAGAAATCATTAGCCAGAATTCTGAGATTTGAAGGCCAAAAGTCTTAAAGTTGCTAAGATTCAGAGGGCCACCATTTATTAACCTTCTAGAGACCTATGAAGACCTGGGTCTTTGCTCAGGCGTTGGGCTAGGAAAGGAGTAAAGCAAGAAAATGTAAATTTAAATATAGAATTTGAGTGCTGTTGTGACCCTATAGTTGGGATATATGGTGTTGTTGTGGCTTTGGTTGACCATATTTATTCTATGTATTTTGAATTTCATTTCGTGCCATCTAGGATTATCGTGTACACAATAGTTGGCCATATATGTCTACTAGCTAAATAAAACTTCTGTGCCCTCTCCAAATTCTGCTCGCTGTTGTTATTTCAGCCAGAATTCCATGGAAAACTTCCCAGACAAGCTAATCCTCCAGCAGATTTTGTGTTCTTGCTACTTTTCCCCTTCAATAAGGGAACAGGAATGGCTTCCTTCCAGTGGCCAGACACTGCAAAGAAATTTAAACCTGATTTTGGGGATAAGGAAAGAATGAATGAGCTATTACAAGGGAATTTACAGAAAAAGATGATATCATTCTGAGAAAGAAAGTCAAAAATCACCCTCCCTTGGTTTCCTTTCGCATGAATTGGAACAGTGGAAAAACTTGGACTGGATTTCAAAATTGATGTTAGTCCTTCAAAATGCCTCTGCGAAGAAAGCAGGCAGGACAAAAGTTTTACAAATGCTCTTGGTTTGTAGGTTAGGAGAGCTGTATCTTAGGCCATAGAAAAATAGGGTTGGAAGCAAAAGTGAAGCAAACCTGTAAGTCCATCTGCTTGTGGTATGGAAACAGCCGAAAAATTACCAGATAGGATGCTTCCTTTGAGCTACATCTGAAATACCTCTTACTACCTACTCAGAGAAAGGGACGAGATGGCTCAGTGGCCAAGATGCTGAGCTTGTCGATCAGAAAGATTGGCAGTTCGGCGGTTCGTGTAATGGAGTAAGCTCCCATTAACTTGTCCCAGCTTCTGCCAACCTCGCAGTTTGAAAGCATGTAAAAATGCAAGTAGAAAAATAGGGATCCCTTTGGTGGGAAGGTAATGGCAGTCCATACACCTTCGGCATTTAGTCCTGCCAGCCACATGACCATGGAGACGTCTTCGGACAGTGCTGGCTCTTCGGCTTTGTAATGGAGATGAGCACCGCCCCCTAGAGCCAGAAACAACTAGCACGTATGTGCGGGGGGAACCTTTACCTTTTTTAGGTCAGCAATATTTTAATATTTTAAGTATTACTCACATTCCACCAAATTTCCAATATCTCAGTTTTCTATAAATGCCAATAAAACCATTTATTAATAAAATTTTAATAGGTCCTGGGGTTATATCTCTAAGTACCCTGCATTTATAATCCTTTACCTTTATTTTATCTACTCAGAGATCTTATTGTAATTCCTAATGTGAACAAATATTTCAGGTTCTTATCTGAAGCCATTTTTCAGTCTGGATTGTCTTCCTATGGAATCACAACCGAATGTTGCTGCACAAAGCATTAACATTTTCCCATGAATTACATCAGTGTAGCCTAAATATATATATCAGCTTCTCATGGCGTATTTCCATGTGGATGAGAGAGAAATTCAAGGCAGTCCTTATCATTAGCATCTCTGCCATTCGAGTAGTTTCCTTTTAAGTGGACCTCAGAGAGATCTTGAAGCAGGAATTCAGAACCTGCAAAACAACATGGTTCTGTCAAAAGAAATAGAATAAATGCGACCACAATGGAATGTTATCCATATAAGTCTGGGATGGGAGGCAGAAATGGGTGTGGATGTTTGGAGCTAAAATCTTTCTTTGTTAAAATCTTTTTTATTTAAAGCAGACTTTAATGGCTAGATGTAAATATGCTATTAAGTTTTCCAGACCTCTCCTCTCTCTTCTTCCATTCTTCTTCCTTCCCTCTTTCTTCTCTCCTCTCCTCTCCTCTCTTCTTCCAGTCTTCTTCCTTCCATCTCTCCTTCTTCTCTTCTCTTCTCTTCTCTTCTCTTCTCTTCTCTTCTCTTCTCTTCTCTTCTCTTCTCTTCTCTCATTTTTCTTCCTTCCCTCTCTCCTTCTTCTCTTCTCTTCTCTTCTCCTCTCCTCTCTTCTTCCATTCTTCTTCCTTCCATCTCTTCTTCTCCTCTCCTCTCCTCTCCTCTCCTCTCCTCAGTTGTTCAGATTCTTGTAGGGAGTGTTAGCATGCAATAAACCTGTATTCATTTGAACTGTCTTGATTCCTGATTTTCTGGCCTTGACAATATCATCCTTTTAAGATGCATATTATCTTGCATCTAGTCTTCCTTTTTGTTGTTGTTATTATAAAAAGTCTTACTTTTCATTATTGCCCCCTCTCTCCTTTTCTAACACCTTTTTACAAACAGAAATATGGTTTTATCTTCCCTTTCATAGATTTCTACCTGATCTGACAAAGTCTAAGTTCTTCTAGCAGTTCCCTAATCAGTTTCCTACCCAAATAATTTCTTCCCCTGGATGCTTTGTGAGCTTTCTTACATGATTTCTCTTTTGAAGTGTGTGCCCACCCTGAAAAGCAAACTTAGGTGAGGCCCACTTTTTAATGGGGTAAAAGGCGCACCTCCTACTTCAAATTAAAGCGACCAAAACTGTTTTTCTGGTTGAAAATAATTTTTGCAGTGTTTTATGCTTAAGCAACTGTTTGATTGTGTAATGAATCAATCACAGTTGATTTATTAGTCACAGATTCTGTTCGACCTCCTGCAATGCCAACCAATGCTAATTAAGTACCCTATGTTCTTTATAACAAAACACACTGGTTAACAGGGACTTGGTGAGAAACAGATGACGGAAGGCAAAATATACTTTTATTTGTACTGTGCCCAAAGCCTCTCTGTCCGAGAGAGGGGTGGTTTCTAAATGCCATGAATAAAATTAAATGTAAGAAAAGGAAGACTTGCGGTGGGTAGTTTGTAAATAAGACATACCTAGATGTGTCTAGGCTGCTTTTTTTTCAAGTGATGCCATCCCATCAAATCATTGGTCTGCCTGCTTGCCTGCCTGCCTGCCTGCCTGCCTGCCTGCCTGCCTGCCTATCTATCTATCTATCTATCTATCTATCTATCTATCTATCTATCTATCTATCTATCTATCTATCTATCTATCTATCTATCTATC